GCTTTATTTGGAGATATGCCCACTTGCGGGGGGGGGGGGGCGGGGAGACAAAATTAAGCTGAGGTGGTAGAGAACCTCCTGGAGGCTAGAGGGAATATTTATTTTGGGGCTTAATTTGTTATGCAAACCTAGCCTGTTTAGCTAATTTACAGTTCAATATATAGAGTCACCCATTGGGGGGAGATGGGGGGCATACAAATTTAATAATAAATAAATAAAAATAAAATTATATGAACCCAGAAAATCACTTAATTCAATAATGTTGTGCAAACATGATCTGTAAGTAGCATTACTGTAATACTGGGGGCCTAAGTGCACATTGCATACAAATGCACATAGCAAAATTACAAGAGTCTTTTAAAGTGTGCAGCTGCTATAAAAAAGGCAGATTCCATGCTTGGAGTAGGTATGAAGGGAATCAAACACAGAGCTGCCAATAAAATCGTGCCCTAATGGAAATCTATAGTGAGACCACACTTGGAGTGCAGTCCCTACACCTTCAAAGTTGCATCATGGAAGGTCCAAAACTGGACAATCAAAACAATTAGGGGGCTGGAGCAGCTCCCCTATAAGGAACGACTTCAGCAAACAGGGCTCCTTGGTTTGGAATGAAAGAGATCAAGGAGAGACGTGTGCACTAAGTGAAATCCTACATGGCTTAGATCATATGGCTAGAGAAAAGGTTTTCACCCTCTCTTTCAAGGATATTCAGGAACAACAGAAGGAAATACTTTTATATAACATAGAGTTAAGCTGTATGGAATTTGCTGCCAGCGGATGGGATTCAACCGCTTTGTGGAACATCAGGTTTTAAATGGCCAGTAATACTGGTGGCTGTCCACTACCTTCTGAATCGTAGGTAGCAGCACACCTTAAATACTGGTTGCTAAGAAGTAAAAGTGGAGGGGGGCTATCAACACCCAATCCAGGCTTGTGAGCTCCCCAAATGCATCCAGTTGGCCACTGTGTCGCACAGAATACTGGACCAGAAGGGCCTGTGGCCTGATCCGGCAGGAGTCCTCTTATCTGAACTATTTTAAAGAAAAAAGCTATTTCAAGAAGAGAGGATAGAAAGTGACGGTAGGTAGTGAAAGGACCATTCTCACACAAACATCTCCAAATCAATGCATCCCAAAATATTTTTTTCTTAAAAAAAAAAATCCAATAGCCTCTGAATTTTTTGAAAGAAATAGAAACATGATAGAGTAGGTGGTACTAAGCAATGAAACACTTTGCTGTCTGTTAGAATGGTACATGCAGTCCACCTTCCCTTAAGCTATCAGAGCAGAGAGATACAGATGTTATGTCATGCCCTCAAGTATGAGGTTTTACATGACTTCTATGCCCCCTCTTGGAGGGAGGGATTTCTCTATCTTTTACACAGAGTATATCCTGTGTGGTATTTTCAGTTACCTTGACCATCAGGAAGCACCACATGATCAGTTTCATCCTTTACTGGGACTCATCAGATGTGGGTAGAATAACATCTGGCTACCCATGTCTAGTGAGCTCCAATAATGGATGAAACTGGTCATGTGGTGCCTTCTAGTGGTCAATGTAATGGTGCTATCTGACTTGGTATGTTAAAAAGGTAGATTTCCTCAGATCAAGCTTGACTTCTGGGACTACTTTTAGTTTGAAATTTGATCTTTTTTCAACTTCCCAATCTAGCCAAGGGCCCTAGGATTGCCTACTGGTCTCCCATCCAAGTAATCAGGCCAAGTAACCAGGCCTGATCCTGCTTAACTTTTTGACATCAGCCAAGGTCAGTTAGATGCTGCCAGCTGCTGATAGTAGGTAATACCAAACATAATAGTTTCTATTTGAACCTCAGGGAAAAAAGTAACCACCCTAGGGTAGTCTTACTTCATCAGATAGTAAAGCTGATACTTTGGCCAATATGCAATGGAGAAAACTCTCCCCTTTGTTTCAACACAATTTGTTTATAGCTTGCATCTGCCGCTTCTGACCCTTTCCATGCACAGTCTTGCAGAGAATCTTCTTTCTGTCACAGCGGCAGTCCTTCAGTCCAGTAGAGGGAAAGTATTGCAGCCATGTTTCCTTCTTGCCAACATGAAACAATCTTTGCGCTCCAAAGCAGCCTTCTGTAAAGTGAAGCCACAGGGTGAGACTGGACTCAGTTCACACCATCCTTTACCAGAACTGCCTGATCACCAGACAGGTTTAAAAAAACATCTCCCTCCCCCCGCCCCACTCTGTGATTCAGAGGAAGCCTATAGCCCTCATTAGAAGACTTTAAAAGTTGCCTGGCTTCTTAAAAGTGCCATTACTACATCATAAAACTCTCTCTATTGTTTTGGACCTATATTCTACCAGAAAGATAAAGTTATCAACCCTGATGATAGGAAACCCAGGAGCTCCTTCTAAGAGGGAAGTATGGCTCTCAGTCACACAGTTTGATGCACAGTAGGCTCCTGTAGGTGCAGGAAGGAAAAGCATGATCTTACCTTTACCTGGCTCGTGCAAAGACCTCTTTACCTGACAGGATGGGGACAGGGCTATAGCTCCAGAATCATACCTTTCTCACAGTGCCTCCCATGGAAACCAGCTGTGCAGATACAGTGGAACCCCTTCTTCCTAGCTTCACAGGCACCCCCATTTTGGCAGGGGTTAGGATCACAGTACCCTGAAAAGAGATGGCTATAGACTGTCATTCTTAGATAGAAACATCAGAAATTTGACTGTGTAAAAACCATAGTAAAGCATGAGAATCATGTGCTCTTGGGCATAAAATTTGACACTGCTGATTGTGGCCATAGCAGATCTGTGGTTTCATGTAAGGTATATTAAGAGAATGACTGAATATTGCCCCTGAAAAAGTCCTTTGTGTGAACCATAATGTGCAGGCTTTAAAAAATAAATAAACACCATTAACTCACCTGTTGGCCTTTCCTCTTTCCCACAAAACTTCCATTGTTGGTCTCGGTCATAGTTTTCTGTGGTGGCGCACCTAATAGGGAAGAGTCTCGTGTCATGCAAGGAATGCGAGGTAGGTGGGCCAATGCCACAATTGCACATTATGACTTCTCTTATACTTCTCAAGGTCAGTCAAGGCCAAAGGGTCCTCTTCTCTGCTTCCTGCACGCTCCAGGGTCCTCACTGTCCATGTGAGCACTCAATACTTTCTGGCCAATCAATACTTACCAGGGCTGAGATATAAGGAAGGCACCAGGGAGGCAGGAATGGTGCATTTTGCGTTGATAACGGAAAGGGAAATGGCAGGGCTCCTCACTGGGTGCTGTCACTGCAAAGCAAAAGGGGATGGGTCTATTTCCAGTGCATACAAGTGCAAAAAGACTGCCATACAGCTCTCCTATTTCAGCTAGTCACCTGGCAGGGCTATCTAACTTCCCATCATATTTACGCACCTTTTGACTGTAACACAGGACACAGCCTTTTTAGGCAATTATCGTTGCATGGAATTCAGACTCCATCGAGCGTATCTGTTGGAAGGGCATCACGTTTTGTCAACAAGAGGCCCCAAAAGACATCCACACCAAGTTGGCTTTAGGGCCAGTGGCAAATATCATGGAGGACCCGGTGGCAACAAATCACTCTCCCTCCATGGATCTTCATATAATTCATTTTCCATTACTGACCACCAGTTCTTATGCAGCCCAAATACTGTAGCACAATCTATACATAAAATAGATGTATGGCAGTTTGGGGAGGGGGGAAACCTCAATTTAGTAAAAGAAGCTACCCAAAAATTAAGGATAAAATATAGCAAGGAGTAAATCCAAGCAGCCAATGAGAAGTGAGCTTGCTGAGTGAGGACTTTTAAGAATGGCTCCCAGGAAGGACAGAAAACTGGTGGGGAACATGACATTGTAGAGTACGGAAAGTGGACATGATTTGGGGTCTAAAATCCTCACTCTACACTGCATCATTCTTCTAGGTCTAATTTGTTCTTTTTAAAAATATTTTGATCGTTTATTATCTTCCCCCCCCCCCCCCGCACATTCCTACTAATTATTTCACAACTTCAGACAGTTCCACACATAACCCATGGATGGATGGACAGACAGACAGACAAAACACCAGCAGGTTACTCCCTTCCAGCAGCAACTTTTTACCATTTTATACTCCCCCCCCCCACATTGTTTAGTTATAAATTATGATCCTTCCTCACTCCTCTTCTCAAGAATGCCCCCACTTGGTCTCTGCTTGTGAGAACTGTATACAGCCAGTTCTTTCAAAAGTATGGGCAGCAATCCTGTAATGAGGCTTTCATTCCCTTACATCTTTCCCTGGTGAAAGATTATTGCATTTCTTAAGTGCTAGTGGGGGCGGGGGGAGGGAGGTGGTAGAAGCCACCTAGCCACCTATTCCTGATACTTTGGGCAGCTACCAGAACCTCACCTGACCAGCTGGTTCCTGCCCCCCTCGCCTCTCTCCCATTCCTATTAGACGTGGCCCAGCCCGAGCTCTTGCTTTAGCTGTCACTCTGATTTCCAGCAATACTCCAAAGCAACGCTGATTGGGAGATGATGGAGGCAAGGTCCAATTTCTTGGTACTGCTCATGGCGCTGTGTTGGCCCCCAGGACCAAAGATTTGGTGTGCCAGATGGCGCCATGTCCCCCTCAGCCCTCAAGGAGGCTTTTGGGGGAAACTCCCACTTCCAGGCTGAGCTAGAAGCTCCAAACGTGAGCCTGGTAGGAGAGCTCCCCTGCCTTGGCTGGCACAAGAAGGCCTCTCTCTCTTCAATCACATCCAACTTTCAGAGGTTTTATAGATTACGATAGCCATACTCACCTCCATGTTTTGCCTTGTGGGGCTTGCCAATTACACCCTGCCAGAAAAGCAAATGGCTGTGTCACAACAACCTCACATAACTTGACATATATTCTCTGCAAAGCAGCTTCTCCTACTGGGGCACTTTCCGGGATAACAAAACACCTTGAAAGCTGCTAAGGGGCTCACACTGAATTAGTTTCAAAAGGAACAAAACGGTCATCCATGGTTTCAGTGAGGTCTAAAAGATTATCTTGAAAAGCTTTCCACCTTTTTGTAAGAAAAGCGGTATAAAGTATTTACACATTTTCTATCCTGTCCATTTTTATAAACTCTCTGCTTTTTATTAAATGATGCACATTCTTTGGCTTTTTTGCTCAGTATTTCTTCCAATATACAGGTAGTCCTCACTTACCTACTGCCTCATTCAGCGACTGTTCGAAGTTATGATGGCACTGAAAAAGTAGGTTTACAACC